CTAGTGATTCCCAAAAGGGGTAGTGGAAAGTTCCAGAGGAACACTGACCAAAAAAATGGGGTGGTAGGAGATTATGGGTTACTACTTCAAAAGAAACGAAGAGAACAAAAGGCATAAGTCTGTAAAATAAGACTTCCCCGCCCCTGCAGCCCCACAGCCCTCCATCTATCATGCCCCCTCCCCGCACCCCAATGCTCTGGTGAGAATAGAGAAGAGGGAAGGGAAGAGGGAGAGGCCGGGCAAGCACAAGGTATTGGCTGATTCACCTAAGGAATGACAATCCTAGCACCCTTAATACAAAGGAACAGGTGTGGGGGTGCCCAAGGGAAAGGGGAGGCAGCCCCAAAATGTTTGGGGACCACTGTTCTTGCCCATATACAAGCTGCGTGCTTGCCCTGCCACGTTCACTGAATTTTTCAGAGGATCACCTTGTTTCATTCTTGTTGCTCTCAAAACCATCCGCCATTCTTTAAATGTGAGGCCGTCCTCGTCTGTGTAGGGAGTGGTCCCACTTCTCCCCAAATACAGCATTCCATGAATGCTGGATCTGTCTCAGAATCTGGAACAGAACTGAAAGAAGAGCTGGAATCACAATGCTGGCTAGAAACACCAAAGCCCACCAGCAACAAAAGAAGCCGAGTGCCCGGTGAGAAGCAGATTGCTTCTGGTTCAGGAGGAGATGCTGTAGAGGGTCAAGGGGGAAAGGTGCAAGGTGGTCAGTCCAGGTGTCTGTTTCCAGATCAAGAGAGCTAACCTGTTCTGCAACCTCCAGCAAGCCTGTGTCTGGCCCACGAGCAGCATGCACCTCCCCAGAGCGAAGCTATCGCCATTGGGTGGGGAAGGGAGGAGGGGGATTAACTTTGGAGTCAACACCAGGAGGAGGGGGATTAACTTTGGAGTCAACACCGTCATGAGCAGAACTCAATCCACTATTAGCAAACTTGCTAATCACTTTTACCTTAAACGCGTTGTATAACAAAGCCAGGCCTGGCAAGCCAGCTGTACCAGCATACAAGAGTATATTCTGAAGCTTTTCAATCTGATAGGAAGGGAAAAGGAGGGAGGCTGGGGAGTGGGGGCAGAAGAGACCTGCTCATAACAGCCGATCATGTCACAAGTGAAAAAGAAGAAGCTCCGGGAGGAGGCAAGATGCAGCTCTAGAGGCAGTGCTGTGCCCATTTGCCCCAGCCAGCTTACACAACTGTTGCACAGTATCCAGTGGCCAGGCAGGACATTGCAGGCAGGCTGGAGAACGATGGCCATGATTTTTCACCTCTCCATCCTCTGGCTTGCATTGTTTCCTCCAGATGGGCCTTTGAGTCCGTCTGCAGGAGGAGGCCGGGCCAGCACTGGGAGGCCATGGGACTTCTTGCAGCCTTGCCTCTCCTCTCTCCTCGGCGTCCACCAGATTGCCCCTTCTCTCTCAAGGCAGCACCTGCAGTCTTGGGGAGCAGCTGACAAGGTTCTTCCCGGCTCAGCTCTGAGGTGGCGGCAGGAGGAGATCAAAGCATACGGTTCTATAGTCCATGCCTCAGGATGAGGACCGCACTGCAGTCTTTGTTCCTTGGGATGCTTTCCAAGGGAACACAGAATCGCTCTACCTCTTGATTCAAGATAAATATGAGTCAGCAACGTAACAGTCACAAAATGGTAATTACACATATTACAGTTTCATTAACAAACATGTGCAAGACAGGAAGCTGATATGGGAAATATGGAGTTGGTCCTTTATTGATGAGGTTTGGCCTGTTCCTGATTGGTTCTTGCTCAGTTTATCAGTGGCTTTGTAGTGTGATCTTACTTGTGTCTGAAGCTAGTTTTTGATGTCAATATCCTTCACATTTTAAAATTGTGTGTGTGTGCATGCGCACACATGCGCATTTATAAACTGTGCATGTTTATTGTTGGTCATTTGTTTTGTCTTCAGTAACACCCACCTCCCCTTGTGCTTTCTGCTTACTCTTCCTTTCCTGGGTTGGGACACCCAGCAATTTGCTGTCACATTTGAACCAGCCAGCTATGATTCATGCTTATTATAAAGGGGATCCGAATTGCCATTTTCACAGCTCCAGTCTTTGTGACAGGGCATCTGGGGTATCCTGTTGCTGTTACACATAGATCCTGCTTTTTTCCTCTTGCAAAGAACCCACAGTGACTTACACAGTCTTCCTTAAAACAACAGCTCTGTGAGGTAGGTTTGACCGAGTCTGTGACTGACTCTAGCCCTGTGAACTTTTATGGCTGAGTGGGGACTAGAACATAGTTCTTCTGAATCCAACACCCTAACCACTGTGATACACTGGCTCTCCAGTGTCAATCGTGGTAGAGTAGATCCATCGAAATGGATTTAATAGGGCTTGAGTTGAACTAACACTGGGTACAATCCTCTGTTGGGATACACATGCAAACAGGAAAGCGTGGATCCAGTCAGTCATGTGTCATCTGCTTGAGAGACCCCCTTTCTGAACCACCTTGCTCCTGTGGTGCCTCTATTACCAATTACTCACAGCCCCTTTGAAGAAAGAATGCCACTCCCAAACATTCACTCTAAGGCCTCCCAAGGTGATGGCTGGGAATGGCTTGGCAGTCCTCACTGTGTCCAGGTTGCTGTTTCCTAAACAATACCCTGAAAGACCAAACCTGGGAGACAGAGCTCTGAATGCCAAGCGCATTTTCCAACAGGCAGATTGTCTTTCCAGTGCGACGCACTCCCTTTGTGCAAGAGAGGTGTAGAATTTCTTTTCCCCTCCCTTCACTTGTCCTGCACAGATGGTGAAAGTGACTAGGGAGCCGTTTTCCTCTCCCTAAGCCCCAGTCACCCACTCCGCCACAGGACTGGCCATCGCAGCACTGTTACTGGGGATATTTTGCCAGAGTGCAAGCGAGTATATATCCCCCTCCTATGTGCTGTAATATTTTAAAACAAGTATGCATGCACCTTGGCCCTTTTGCTCTTCTGGACATATGAGCCAACTACAACATCTCATTCACTGCTGACAAAGTGACAGGAGAAAACTATTTTGAATAGCAAAGGACAGGCGCACACACAAAAAGCTGATAGTCTACAGAATTCAGACGCATCCACACCAGTGGCCACAGAGCTGGGAGAGAAGGCCCATGACCCCAGCAGTGTCAACATACCCCTTGCTTATCACTGCAGGTGACAGCCCTACCGGTCACTGCTGGTTCAATGATTAATGGAAATATCATCTTGCAGCGCCTGAAAGCACTCTTCTCCTCGAGGCAGAGGCAGAAGCAGAAGGTGAGTGTAATGGAGAAGAGCTGCCTCAAACGGAGTCTTGTCAGCTTTCTCCCCCATGTGCAGACCTTGCTTTTTGCTTGCTCTTCCAACCAATGCGCTTGTTTTATATGTTACGCTGATCCCACATGTGGAAAATGGGTTCTATGCAAATAAAGTTTATGCAGTGGGAGAGATGTCAGACAGATGGAAATCTTCATGTTGCTTGATCTCAGGGAATAGGATTTTCCTTTTACTCTCAGCTCTGTGCTATCACTTCAGATATGAAGCTTTGCATCCTCGCTGCCACTGGCATAAGTTGACCCCTCACATGTTCCTGAAAAATGAATGTGCCGTGGAGCCTACCGTTCCCCACAGTAACAGTGGGCAGCCAATAGGCTTGGGGGCTCCACTTTGGCTTTTGCTTTTTTTTTTACTAGAACCATGGTTCCATCAAGCAGAGCCAGATGCAAGAGAGTTGCTCAGGTACGCAGAATACACTAAGATTTTTTTAAGAATTAAAATTAAAAAGGATACATGATTGCACCTAAGCACCCCCTTCCCACTTGCAGAGCCTGCATGGCTCCATGGTAAGCAGCAGAACTGCAGATGATGAAGTAACTGGGAAGATGGCTAGAGCCCAAGCACAGGACAACCTGCGCTGAGCCTGACTGAATGCGGGCACTACTGAGCCAGCTCCATAGTGGGGAAGGCAGCAAAGCAAGCTCTCTTCTCCACCAGTATCACATCCTCCTGGTGCCATCCAGCAGAGCTATTCTGAGTGTTCGTGGCCTTTTACATGTGGGCCCTAAAGAGGGTCAGACAGAACCCTCGGTGGCCCACTGTGACAGACTTGTGCTGTACTTTGAGGATAGTCACTCAGACTCAGCACAAACTGGGCTCCACATTTAATGTAGGCCCTTTAACAAAGACATCTAGAGAACCACCTGGCCCTATTTTATTGAAGAAGTTTCAGTTATTGAAACCTAATGATGTGGACAAGGTGCTTGGACAAGCTTGGCCCACCACTTGTATTCTTGACCCTTGTCCTTCATGGCTTCTCATTGAAGCCAAGGAGGGAACAGGCGATTGTGAATGCTTCCCAGAGGGAGAGACTGGTCCCAGGTCCATTAAAGGAGGTGGTTATCAGACCCCACCTGAGGAAGGTGAGTCTGGACCCAAGAGGTGTTGAACGCTAGAGGCCTGTGGCCAACATTCCCTTTTTGGGCAAGGTGCTCAAGTGGGTGGTGGCTGGTCCAGGCAATCTTGGAGGAAATGGATCATCTGGATCCATTCCAGTCCAGTTTCAGGTCTGAAACTGCCTTGGTCACCCTGCGGGATGAAAGACGGGAGGGGGTGCACCCCTGTTGGTTCTCCTGGACCTCTTCATGGCTTTCCATGTTATTCTCCTGGATAGGCTGGTTGGTTTAGCAGTCAGAGGCACTGCTTTTCAGCGGTTCTGCTTCTACTGACCAGCCAATTGCAAAAGGTGTTGCTGGAGGATGGCACCTCAGCTCCATGGCGACTATGCCATCCTGTCCCCCATGCTGTTCAATCACTACATGAAACTGTTGGGAGAGGTCATCTGGGTATTCGGGCTGAAGTGTGATCAGTACGCCGATGACACTCAGCTCTACCCCTCATTCACATCTAATCCTGGTGAGGCAGTGACTGGTGTCTGGCCTGGGTGATGGACTGGATGAGGGCTAAGAAATTGAAGCTTAATCCAGAGAAGATGGAGGTGTCATTCACAAGGAGAGCCTTAGTCCAGAGGGACAATATCCATCCTGTCCTGGGCAGGGTTGCATTCCCTCTAAAGGACAGAGTACAGAGTTTGAGGTTACTCCTGGATCCAGAATTGGCCCTGGAGTCCCAGGTTGCACCTGTGGCCAAGAGTGTTCTCCATCAATTTTGGTTGATTTACCAGCTGCTTCCCTATCTGGACAGGCAGAACCTAGCAATGATAATCCACACCCTGGTAATCTTGCGTTTAAACTTCTGTAAGGAGCTCTCTGTGGGACTGCCCTTGAAAACAGTCCAGAAACTTCAATTGATACAAAAAGGACAGGGGATGGGGAGGCATGAATATATCAGCCCCATGGATTGTCACCTGCATTGGTTACCAACTGAAGTCCGAGCCCACTTTAAAGTGCTCACACTGATGTGTAAAGCCCTAAATGGCTTAAGGTCTGGATATCTAAAGAAAATTTCTTCCTGCATATACCTATATGGAGGTCCTTCTCCAGAAGCCACTTTTAAAAGAAATAGAGAAGGTGGCCACAAAGGGAAGAGCTTCTCAGTTGTGGTGTCCCAATTATGGAATCAGTTCCCCAGGGATATAGAACCAGCGCAGATTCTATATTTGTTTCAGCACTACGTTAAAACCCTTTTACTCTCTCACCATTTTGATTGTTGATATGATTCTTTGATTTTATATTGGCTTGTATTATACTGTGGATTGTTGTTAATTATTGTCATTTACTGTTGGTTTTGTTTTGGTTCTTCTGTCATTGTCGACATGGGTTGGATTTTATTGATCCTATAAGATGCTCTATGATTGCTCTACTGATTGCTGATACTGCTGTTTTGCAGCTATTATGTGCTGTTTTGCTAAGGTTTTATTGAGAGCTCCATACTAATGAACAGAAATTAAATGTCTAAATAAATATATAATTAAATGGATGAGATACCTCAGGGCTCATGCTCAGCCCAAGAATCTGTAGCTAGTACTGGAACAAAGGTCAT